GCGGAGCGGGGCGCTCCTCGCCCGTGGGGACGGCCCCCTCCAGGGGTGCATTCCTGGACCCCAGGTTGCCTCCTTGCCAGCTTTGATGCCATTCTACCTGCCTTCTCGCCAGGTGCGGCCACCTCTTGCTTCCCCATATTCCTAATTAAGAGGCGTTTTACTCCGTACCCGGCAGAGATGCTGCTTTCCTTTGGAGGGAGAAGACCCATCTGGGTTTCTCCTCTCCCTTTTCACCTCCCCAATGAGCATTTCTCAGTTCAGGATGGAGAGGCATTTCCATTTCAATATGATGCAGCGAGGAAGATGGGGAATCCTGGGCAGCCAGGGCTCAGGAAATGCCCCTTCCTCTTTCATCCTCCTCCTCACCCTGGCACAGGCATTTAAGTAGTAACACTCCCTTGCTAGCTTCCTGGCTTTTCCTTCTCCTTGGAAAGAGAAATGCGAGCGGGAGGTGTGCGTGTGAGAGGAAACAACTGTTACACCTTTTGTCATCAAGACAAAGAACTTGTCTTCATCTCCCTGTGTCCCTCCCTCTGGGTGCATATTGGCAGCACCTCAGCCACTTTGCATTGCTTACCGGAGATGCTTCATAAGGATACAGTGTGGCCCTGACCTGCCCTTTTTTGTTGTTGTTGCCAATTATGATGGTGCTGATAAAAGGACATGTTGATATGTTTCCAAACAGACTCGCTGTTTGCATTCCTGAAATTGCTGCAGCGTTCTTATTTATTTATTTAATTGGAGGGGGGGATGACAACAGGAAGAGGGTATGTTTTTGTGGTTTATTGTAGTTTAAAAGGTATGAGATCACGTGCAATTGCAGCACTGTAGTATGGAGTATATCAACCAATGCTCTCTCCCCCTGTCTTATTTGTCTTCCAGTCCTGCAGTCTCCACATCATCTACTGTGCGAGGAATGATGATTCCATGAGAGAACTTCCTTTCAATTACCTGCCTGCTCCTATTGCATGCTGCTCCTGGCCAGTGATGAGCCATTCAGCTAGACTGGGATTTACCATGAAGAAGGGAGAGGCAGAATATGAACTGTAGACATCCCATCAAGTTCCTTGTGCACTGTTTTTACTGTGTCTGTATATAAATCTGCTAGTATAGAGCACGCACACACTCTTAAAACTAAGTTGCTTAAAACAGTTGCTACTGTGTAAGAGGACTGGTATTTCTCACCATCATGGCTTCAGTTTGGAAAAGACTGCAGCGTGTTGGGAAACATGCATCCAAGTTCCAGTTTGTGGCCTCTTACCAGGAGTTGATGGTCGAGTGCACCAAAAAATGGTAAGAAGCAGCTCATGTTGTTGCACAAATGGTGGAGTAAGTTGCTGGTGCTGAAATAGGAAGGATGTTGCTCATTTTGTATTGTTCGGTGTGCATGCATTGGTCTTGCCTGCCCATTGCAGAAGCAGCTGCATGGGGTGCTTGTCTTTCTTGATGAGTGCTTGCTTTGCCTGCATACTTATCTTGGACCTGTTGGTTTTGTTCTGTACTCTGATTTTCTTAGCTGGCATTGTTGTTATCATGCAGAGGACGGTGCATTTATTAGCTCGCCATCTGGGTTTGGGGTTTTTTTTTTTTTTTAATATTTCCTGGGAGCTGTTTTCCAACTTCCAGCTCTGCTCTTGGTGCTGAGTGTTATCTGCTGACACTGTTGTTAGCTGACTGAGGCATTTGAGATCAGTCCTGAAGATGGTGGCATTTTAATCTGGGGTGGATATGATGAAATGAAATACCCATTTCGATTTTGACTTTTTTACCTGAAGATGTCTTGTCTCTCCTTCTTTTCCTTGTTCCTTTCCATCTTTTAATGGGAAGAGGCAAGAGACAGATCCTTGGGAATTGTCTTAAGGTATTTGTTTAGTCAGACAAGAATTTTGTGCAGTGGTGGTCCAGTTGGATGGTTTTGGAGCTGACTAGACAGCAGTTAACAGTTAATGGTATGGGTCTGGCGCATCTTCCTTCCTGTGCAAAATGAGCTTAGATAAATCTGCTAGGGGAGACGAGAAGCAGCTTTTAAATAGTCAGACAAAGATCTCCATTATACAGATACCTAAGTGCTGTTTTCTATGTTTGGAATATTGAAGTTACTGACATAATTCTTCACGTTGGTGTGAGCCTGTAGCGTCAGGGGACGAAGAAAGTACTTTCCAGACCTCATGGACTGAGATGTTCAAATTGTCTTGTAATAAACTGCAGCCTCCTTTCTAATAGTTGGCCTTTCTTCTTGTTGGCAAGTTTGGCACTTGCATTGGCTGCTTTCACTGGTTATGAGTAATTGCCTCTACAAATTTAAATTCTATCTCTTGGAATTGGAAATCTCTGTCAAATATGCTGGAAGGCTGCTCGCTGCTCTGTCTTAAAGGAACACTGTCAGGTTAAAAGTTTTTTTTAACAAGTTATCTTCTTGCCTAAAATGTTTTAAAAGATTATTAAGAAATGGGATCGTTTTGGAAATTAAACTTGCTTTCACAGAATAAACTACAAATAAAACCATTTTAAAAGTTGAAAGAGGCTGTTGTGATTATCTCACGGGATCTACTGTCTAGTTCAGGCCAAAGAGTTTTCCACAGTAGTTTTGGTTTATCAGGTTTATTTCAGCAGTTGTGTTTATTGCTTTTTATATTTTGTTTGCATAAACTAGCCTGTTTTGGCTTTCATTTTCACTTTGATTCACTCCTTGCTTGAGAATTTGCAGAACGCTTCGGCACTAAAGTATGAATGCTGCAGGGGAATGTTCAGATTGGATCTGCAGCTAACTTTCGCTTGATTTAAGAGAAAGTCGCACACAAAAGTTCTCTTGTGAACAATCTTGTTATTTTAGAAACAATTAGCTTATTGTTTAATCATAAACTAGAGCACCCACCTAGCAAAATGCCTGTGTGTAAAGCAGTGAAACAGCCTTTTAAAACCTCAGATACACAACTAATCTTTTAAAAATAGGTTGTCTTTCTGAACCTTCATTGTATGTTCTTGAATTTAAATATAGGCAAGATCAGTGCTTGTGTTGGTTATGATGAAGCAACAGTATGGTGGTGAAATGTGGATGAATTCTAGGAAAAATAACAGTAGGGGGGAAAAAAACATCACTCACAGTTGTTTGATTGTAGGCTTTTCTATTCTGCTTCCTCTTGTATGGAGAACCTTAACAAAAGTGTTCTTTAAGCATTCAAGCTAAAATATGATACTTATGCCATAAGTGGAACTCCCTATATGAAACAAAAGGGTAAATATATATTTTGAGAGCCTTCAACTAAGTCTTTCCTTAACTTTGGAGAAGATAGTTTTGCATGTGCTGACAGAATCGCTGCTTTCTCTATTTCTAAAGCTTGTCTCTGAGTTTGGTCCATGTAAGAACAAAACAGAAGGAATGAACTCCATATGCTGTTCTTGCTGAAAGCACTTAATACACATTAAGTGTTAGTGCTGTAGTCTGTAGTTTGTTTGATTGAAATGTAGTAAGCAGTACATTATTTTAATGTACTGGCATTTTAACAATGCTGTGTTTCTGGAGGAAAAGAATTCTCCATTCATATTTTAAAATAAATGACAATGTGGTCATAAACACACTTGAACTGAGATGTGTCTGTGAGCAAGGATTGTGCATGACCAAAACAGGCTGGGTGCCTGTCTGTGAACTGCTATCTTCTGTTAGGTTTACATTTGTCTACCTCTTCAGAAAATGACTTGTGTTTTAGAATATTTTTGTAACTGATTGTGTGTGGTTTGCAATGTTGGGTGTATTTCTGGTTGGCTTTAATACTTTTTGTCTCCTCTGGATTTGTATTCATTTGAATTTTTTTTAATTTAGTGTTCAAAATAGCTCCTGCTCTTTTTTCTGGAGTTATGCTAGCTGTGTGGGAAGTCGCTACCACTCTGGTGTTGCTGCTTCACTCTTTAAAAGGGTTATCTCTAGGTACAGCAGCATTTGTCCAGCATAGGCTGAAACTCCCTTTCCTTGCTTTTTCTGCTCTCTATAATTTCTGATTCTTATCCCTACTAATGATTAAAGACAGCCACTCTCAGATGATTGCTTTTCATCGGTGGTGCATTTGGGGGGACAGGTTGTGATGAAGTGTCCAGTGTGGTCGCTGTTTCATTAGAAAAAACTTATTTTCAGGTAATTAACAAGACTGAGTTGTTTCTGTGGCATTCTGGCTGCTCCTGCTGACCCAGACCTAATTATTGTGGCTGCTCAGTACCTTTGAAAAATTGAGCAGTTGGTTGATGGAAAGCCTTTCATTAAAAATAAATAAATAAATGTAGTCTTGGTCTTTAATATGGATTAGTGACTCCTGCTACTGTGAAAATGTTGTGCTTTGCATTAATCATATAAGCAGTTGATTTTTTTGAAAGGCGCTTGCTTGGCAGTGCTGGAGCGTGTCCTCCTCCACTTACCCTTGGAATAAGCTGGGGCAGCGCAGGATTTTCTAGCCAGCCTCGCCAATGAGCTGCAATCCTGGCCTGGAAGGACTATGCGTGGTAGGAGAGAGTTAATGTAGTCCGCCTCCTCAGTGCAGAGCCATTGAATAAAACCAGAAATCAGTCTCATGCATTTTGCTTAGGCTTCTACAAAGAAAAGTTGTATTTGCTGCTCTGTGCTGTCGGAGCAAGTGTTGCGGTGTGGGAGAAGAGTGTGCTGGGCATCGCTGGCAGGTGTAATGCTGTGACTTGCATAGGGGACCCAGTTCAGTTGCCTGAACACTGGTGTCTAGCGCTGTTTGAGATGCCTTTGGGTTTCCTGCCAGTCCCAGCTGCCAGTTTGGAGAAGCCCAGATCTCCTGTTGATCCTGTGTCAAGCCTGCCATCCCGGCATACATCTCTTGTGTACCCTGGGGCTTCTCAGCTGCTGGAGGCCTCTGTTCAGGCAACTGAGTCAAGGCTTGTCTGAGGCACAGGCTCAGCAGAGGAGCCTCATAGGAGGAAAATGCTCTTTTGGACCAGAGATCAGTTTCAGTACTAGGACCTGAAGCTGTGGTAGCTGTTTTACAGAGCTGCTGAAGCACCTAATGCTGAACACGTGAGCTCTCTAGGATGGCTTTTATGTTTCCTTATTTTTGTGTGATGTCTCGCAAGTCAGGGACCCAACCAGGGGCTTCAAGTGTAGTATTGACTGGTTTCCACAGAGAATGGCCTAACTCTTACAGAGTTGAGGTTGCCAAGTTCCTAATATGATGTCCATTGGATGCTTTTATGAGTGAGAAAGCTGCTCACCTGAATGTAGGTGCTAACTGCTTAAAAACTCTGGAAAAGAATAAGCATAAGAAGGCTTTTCTACAGGACTTGCCATTCAATAGTTCCTTTAGAGATAAAGAAATATGTTGTTTTTTACAATGTTTGTAATACCTGTCATCTCCTATATGAACTGCTTTGCTGTTAAATCCTGCTTAAAAATACAGTGAGCCACGATGTTCTAAAAGGGTTAAACTCTTCTTGTATGCTGCCTTAACTGAAGGCAGGCTTCATTTCCATGAGGCAAATCTCCTATTTTTGTATCAATTAGGTATGGTCTGAAGTAGGTTCTGTATTTTCAAATATACATCTTTCTCTTTTGGAAATGAAGTAACGCTTAAGCTTTTTTTTCCCAAAAGGCTTTAGCCATCTGTTTTTCTCTTCTATTGTAGTTTCATAACTGGATGCTGCAGGAATTTTAAGATTTGGCATACACTGTGCATGGGAGAGAAATGAGCTTTTTGAGATTCCACGGTTCACACCAGTCTGCTTGCCTTCTGGTCGCTGCTTTCCAGCAAATCCTTCAGCACTGAACGCCACTGAAAGAACTGGAGTTAACTGGTTGCTGTAGAAATCCTTGGGGGTTGTCTGTACAGGGTCAGGCTGTCAGATTGCTCAGTTAATTTCCTTGCTTTGCACGGTTGTTAAGAGGGGATTTTGTGAGCACCTAAGTACTTTTAATTATTAAGGATGATCGCATTAAAATGTGTGACAAAGAGATAAGTTACAGGTCAATTCAGAATCTCTTTGGGTTAGTTTTGGTGTGAACCGTGCGTTTGTTGTGGGCTTGCTCTAGTGAGTGTTTGATTGGATTTGCATTTGCCTGTTAGCCACGTAGGTATACCGTAACAAGCATAGCTTCTGCAAGGAAAGAGTCATGCAATTTCTCCTGCTTTTTAGCTTTTTTACTCCTTCTCAATTAAATTATACTCTGTCCTCACACTCTTCATTGAGATCTCTGATTCTACACCAGATAATCACCATCTGCAAATGCACTTCAGCATTTTCTTCTCCATCCCTTTCCAGTTTTGACTGAGGACTTTTTGAGGGCT